GCTCCAAATTTTCTTTAACAGAGAGCAGCCAGACTGATCTGCGAGTGAAACCTTGAAAGCTCGTGAGATCAGGATGGTCTCACGAGGCTAGAACACCACCAGGAGAACAAAAAAATCTGATGAATAAAGTTTATTTGAACAAAATGAAAATGTTGGTGAAAGGGTCTGGTCGGGGATTAAGGCACACAAAGTGGTCTGCACATTGAAGAGCAGTGGAGAAGATGATGAGTTTGAGGTAATAGGACAACTGGCACTTCAAGAGAAATCAGGCTGTTCTTAATTGATTTGCTGGTTACTTTCATCTATATTGACAATATTTTCAGTCACTACTTGAACTTCTGAGGTGTCTGGATCAGGGTTGCCATTTTCATAGGCTATTTAAAGGAACCTCATTCCATGGCTGAGGGAAATGGGGGTGCTGAGGGTGCTGCAGTACCCCCTAGTGGCGAGAGGGAGGTTTTTAAAAAATGTATTAAAAATACTTTGTACAATATATACATTTCTTATTAATATTTTGAAAAAATATTTTGACTTTTTCATTTGATATTATGTGTATTTGGATATAAATTACATTATTTTGAGGCCTAATCAACACAAGTTCACGGAACCAATTCAATGCGTGAGAAAACACAGAGCATTAAGAGAACACACAAAAAGAATGTTTGGTTTCCATTGGACGCAAGAAGAAAACAGGAACAATCAGCATTAAAAAGCCTCAGCCTCAACCAACAAAAAGATGAAAGATGCTTTTTATGCTTGAGGAAACTAATGAAGAAACTGAAGCCTTTTAACAAACAGCATTTCTTCTCTTAGATAATTACTGACATTTATCTTCAACTCTAAGAAAATTTCATACCGACAAGAAAAGTTCTAAGGGTGCTGAAAGATTCTTGTGCTGAAGGGAAGAACCAACAGCTGTAAGTATCTCCAAACAAAATTCAACATGGAGAAACTCACACAATTTATTAACACAGTGAGATTGTTCAAAATGTTTCTACCTAAGGAACAAAGGCTGATTGCATCGACTCGTTGACTCTGCAATCCCTCACGCTGAGGTTTGGTTTTTACTAAAACGCTGAAAAAGATCAGTGTCCAAGCAGTTGGATTAATGATTCTTTGAAGTGATCTTGAAAAGCAGATTCCCAAAATGATTTGGAGAAAAGTTAAAATCCGAAGCACTAGAAATCATAAGCAACAATGCTAAGAAATATCCCCAACAACTAAAGTCCGAGGTACACACATGAAAATGAATTGGATAAGAAGAATTAAAGATGCCATCTTAATGGGAATTATCTACTGCAGCAATCTCGAGTAGGCCAGTAAGACTAAGAGGTCGCAGGCCGTTTAAACATTTATCAAGAGCACTTTCCTCTGAGTTTTTCCATTTGTAGATAACTTAAATCAGATTATTCCTGGTCAAAGTCACATTCCTAGTTCAAAATGCAATATTAGAGGTTATAAGTTACATTTTTGCTGCAGAATCTGAATTTCAGAGAGTAAAACAACTAAGTTATAATAGTAAGAATAAAGTTTTATATTGTCAAGGAAAGCTCTGTGTTTACACCTGGAAGCTTTCTGTCTCCGGTTCTTTTCCCTGAGAGGAGATAATTCGGGACAAATTCTTTCAATAACACTTAATAATTCACGTGTTAACATTTACATGTTAGAAAGCATGTATATGTTAGACAAATACATGACAACAGATTTTGACAGAAATTGTAATCTTACTCAGACCACAGACGTTGCTTTGATATGGCAGAGCTTACTAA